GTGGATGTATGAGGGGTTTTAGCCAAGATGTGGGTACAGTGCCACCCCGGGGAGGCTGGTGGGAGGCAGGGATTCTTGCTGAATGCCGACCAAGGAGATGAGATCCCAAGGATGGAGGATGGGGGTCCTAGTTGAACCCGCCAAACTGGATTCTTGTTAAAAATCAGGCTGAATGAAGCCAACCAGGACAATGCTGAGGTCAGGGAAGAGGGGCAGGGGAACCCGGGCAGTATGGTTAGTGGCCTTGAGGGCTTTTGCTGCTACTGAGGAGGCAGTCGGAAGAGACTTTGAGGTAGTGGAAGGGTCTGGGAAGAGGCCCAGGGCTCTCTCTGTAGTGGATAGACATGGGCCTCATAGGCAGCCCTTTGAGCAGGGTATTCCTGTCTGAGCGGTCAGCTTGGCTGCCGGGGCACAGTCCCTCCCTTTGTCCCCCCGGCAGCCTTACCTGGTGGGCCGTTCCCTCCCAGTTTCCATAGCAGCTGGTGATGAGTGGTGAATGAGCATTTTGTCCACAGTGCTTGGTTGGGTTTCCTCAGGGGCGTGGAGGAGGAGGAGAAAGAGGCCAATTCTGGTTGGGTGGGGTTACTGGCCATTCTCTTCTCTCCCAGTGGGAGGCACAGGCGCCCTCCCTGTGTGGATGCCCGCCAGGCCCAACGAGGCCCAGGATGCCTGCCATCCTGTGGTCTGTGGAGCATTTACTAACGGGGGAGTTGGTAGTAGACTGTGCTGAGCAGGAAAAGCAAAATCATGAACATTATTAACCACAGTCGCCTTTCTTCTTCATACAACTGAAAAATGAATTTTGCCAAAATGCATAATAAAAACATAAAATGCACCACTGGTCCAGTCAGTGGCTTCCCCACCTAGTGCCCTCAGGCACTCACAGAGAGGGTTTCGATGATGAAGACCCAGAAGGCCAGACTGGATAAAAGCAAACCAAACAGAAAAACCTTCCATAAGTGATAGGTGGTGGGCATGGGGGAAGCGATCCTGGTGACCCCTGCCATCTTTGTCCTGAAACCCTGTGACATCACCCAGCACAGGGGCTCCTGGGCTCTGAAACTGCCCACTCCTGCTTTGCTGTTGCTGGTACAAGATTTTGAGAGCCTGAGGCAGAACTGATTGGTCTGGGCTCCAACTCTTTGGGCAGGGAAAAAAACATTCCATCCTGATTCTTAAACAAGTTGAGCACCTGCTGCTGTTGTCAGCGTAGGCACCTGCTGTGTGATGGGAAGTTCGTTGACACAGTCAGGTGCGCAGCGGTGCTTCCCGCCGGGGTAGGTTTGCTGCAAAGGTGAGCTCAACCTTGCCTTCCTCTCCAGCTCTCTCACCCCTCAGTTTTCTGCCTTCCCCGTGGCTGATGTGGCATGACACTCCTCATTGGATGTGGGAGGGAGGACTTGATAGCCTCCTGCACTCTCACTCACCGGCCTCTGTCCTCCTGAGTTTCCTCACCTGTGGGATTCTGGTGGGAGTGGTGCACATGGGGTCGCGACAGCTCTGGGATGCTATTTCTGGGGTCACTGTTAACCAAGCTACACAAGCAGTGTGACTGGAGCCTCCTGAAGCCCGGGAGACCTGGGGCCATGAAGGAGAAGCCACTCTGGGCCTCTCTGCTCATTCTGATGGCTTCTGGTGATCTTTGGCTTCTGGACACACTGCACATCAGTTTGCCTTGTTCTTCAGGCCGCATCCTGTGTGTGTGTGCGCAGGCTTCCCCTTTTGTAAGGTTGTTATTCACACTGACTTCGTGGTCAACCTAATGACTTCCTTGTCGCTTGGTAATGACCCCATCTCCAGTAATCTGGCTGTGTGTATGAGGTGTCCACAAGACACAAATTAATTTTGTCCCCCCTCCCCACCCCACACCTGCTTATCTCCTATGCTTGTGCATACATTCCTGAAACCTTCTGGTCCCATACGTTTTGGATATGGGACACTTGGTTTGGCCTACTGTATACAAGCATCTCCTTCCCACTCCAGGAGGTTGGCATTTCCCATGCCCAGTTTGTAGATAGAGACAGGTGTGAGGTGTGCAGACACCTGGAGTTGTACCACACCTCTTCTGGAATATGAACACGGGTTTTCTCCATCCAGATTTCCCATTCTTTTCCTACTTAGCAGGCTACCTGGAGTGAACATGGGGGCTCCTGTGTCGGGCTGAGGTGCTGAGGTTCGTTTATGGTGGAAATCCTAGCAGGAATTGGTTTGACAAGTCAGGGCAGAGTCCAGAAGTCCTCATGGCAATTGTCAACATCGATCGAAGGTGCTGCCTCCCATGTCTGGCCATCAGATGTGTCCAAGCAGCCATCGGCACTTTGAAGGTGATGGAAAAGCAAGTCTGGACTCTTTCCTGGGGCCATTCTGTGCTGGGTGAGCCCACGAAGTGTGTTGCAAGAGAACTCACACACACAGAGAAAATCAGTCCTGTGGTGAGATCGTCTGGGGCCATCCTATAGAAAGCCTCAAAAAATTGTTCTTAAAATTATTTGGAAACACAAACATGATCTTGAGTGCTGTGTACATTGTTGACCAGGTCCTTGTGTGTATATGCAGGATTGCCTGGCATGTGTGTCTGCCCGTGCCAGGTGCTTGCCTTCATGGACACGCACACTGGTGAGGGGAGAGAGAGCAAGCTGTGGTGTGTTCTCAGCAACACTGACCGCCACACGTGTGATCTTTTGCCATCAGCTCCTCTACCCCCGTCATGTCACTGGAGCAGCTTCTTTTCTTGCTGGTCCCTTGTTCTCTTACGTAAGGTTAACATTTATAAGACACAGTTGTAGTATTGGAAATTGATGGATTTCTCCTCTATGTTAAATACTTTTAATGTCAGGTCCTAGCACAGTGGTACAGTCGGTTAAGTTGCAATGCTGGTGTCTCATTTCAGAGAACCGGTTTTAATCCTGGTGACTCTGTTTCAGATCCAGCCCTCTGCCAGTACACCTGGGAAAGTAGCACAAGATGACGCAAGTATTTGGCTCCGTTACCCATGTAGCCGAGTAGGGTGGAGTTCTTAGTTCCTGGCTTCAGCCTGGCCAAGCCCTGCTTGTTGCTGCCACTTGGGGGAAATGAACCCACAGATGGAAGATTCTCTGTTTTCTGAAATTCTTGAAGCACCAGCCACAGATTCTGTTGTTCTGATGAAATAATTATCAAGGTGAGAGTTTGGATCTGTGAGGTTCAGAGGCATTTGAGAGTGAGAAAGAGGCTTTTGGTTCAGGCAAAGAGTTTTATTAATGACAGGAGAGGGCCTGACAGACCACTCCCTGATGGGAGACAGCCCAGGACCACTTCCATAAAATGGGATGAACACATGAGGGAAGTGGCCCCCCAGGGTATAGAGCATTGGACTTTTACACATCTTGGATGTGGGGGGTGGGAGAAAGCAGCTTGTGTATGCATTTAATGGCAGGTGCTGACCTTCTGTGCAGAGGCAAGGTCAGGGTGAATTGGCAACGTTCCTGGATGGGAGTGTCAGCTTGACTTTGGCAGGGTGCTGGAGCCACCTCTGCTCTGCCCAACCTAATGGAACCATGACTTCTTTATCAGCTCAGTCCCCTTAACACTCTGAGGTCCCACTAGGCCCACAAGAATTCTCAGGTGCCTGCGTGCTCCTGTTTTGTGGACAGGTGAATCAGGTGGCTTTTCTTTGTCTTAATCAGACCTATTTCACAGATGAGTGAATCTGGGAGCAGGGGCCAGATGCTGGCTCAAGGTCACTCGGGTGGCAGGCTGGGTGGTTGTGCAGGCACAGTGAATCGGGATGGCCTGCTGGGGGCATGAGTGGTTGGAAGGATGCTGCTGTTTTTGTCTTCCCAGTGATTCCTAAAAGAAACGTCATTTTCAGTCAACAACCCATACCTACCACCTGACAGTTCTCAGAAACGCCTCTCCTTTATGCTATGGCCTCATTTTTAATGGAGTTTACTCTTCCATAGCAACAACAAAGTTCTCTGGTTTCCTTGATGGCGCAGTGTTCACATGACTGACCCTGACATCGCCAAGGAGAGCAGGGAGGGGAGGCAAGAGGTGGGAAAATCAGATAGGAGGTTGCAAAATGGAACCAGAAGAAAAGAAGGATGGAGTTCTAAGGCAGAGATGGACTAGCTTCTTCTGGAGCTTATTTCACCAAGTCAGAGGAATGTACCTGCCTGCAGCTCTGGACAGGGTCACCGGAGAGGCACACAGGCTGTCCGAGGATCAGCGGCAGTTCACCATGCGTGCTTGCAAAGGCTGAGCTGAGAGATCTGGCCTTCTGTTCTTGTGGACGATGCTTCTGGCACTCACAAGGGCATGGGCTGGCTGGATTAGGATCCCCGTACTGCTTGACACCATGGCTCATGGGGAGATATTCGTCATCACCATGCACCACCACGCTCCACTGCCACACACTCGCACTTCAGGTGCTCAGACACAGGCCTCTTTCCTCATCTCAGCCATCCTCAAACTTTATGAAAACTCGTTTAAACATTTCTGAGTGTTGATGGAGCACAGTGTGAAAATTTGATGCAGACACACAACGTGTAGCAGTCAGATCCAGGTAACTGGCATTGCAGTTTTCTTTTTCAAGAGTTATTTATTTATTTATCTATAATTTGAAATGCAGAATTGCACAGAGAAGGAGAGCTAGGGAGAGGACTTTCTGTTTCCTGGTTCACTCCCCAAATGGCCACAACGACCAGAGTTGAGCAGATCTGAAGCCAGGAGTCAGGAGCTTTCTCTGGGACTGTTTAAATATAGGATCGCAAGCACTTGGGCCACCCTTCACTGCTTTTCCAGGCCATAAGCAGGGAGCTGGACAGGAAGTGGAGCAGCTGGGACATGAACCGTCACCCAGGTGGGATACTGCACTGGAAGGAGGAGAATTAACCAGTTGAGCTATTGCACTGGCCCCCATCATCTCTGTGTCAGGAGCACTGGTCTTCCCTGCTTCTGGGAGACTGTGCTTTGGTGTCTGCAGGCTTGTGAGATCTGACACTTGCTTTTGCTCCTTGCAGATGGCTTTCCTGAAGATGAGGGTGCTGTACGCCTGCCTGCTGCTCGTGGGTGCACTCTGCATCTACTTCAGCATGGACTCCCTGATTGCTTTCAAGGAAATATCATATGTATACAAGAAGGATGAGGGGCGGTTCCTCCAGCTTCCAGATGTCGACTGTAGACAGAAGCCGCCCTTCCTCGTCCTGCTGGTGACTTCATCCCACCATCAGGTGGCGGCCCGCATGGCCATCCGGAAGACATGGGGCAAGGAGAGGACAGTGAGGGGACAGCAGGTGCAGGCATTCTTCCTCCTAGGGGTCACAGCCAATAAGGCAGAGACGGCCACTGTGGCCCAGGAGAGCCAGCAGTACCGGGACATCATCCAGAAGGACTTTGAGGATGTCTATTTTAACTTGACTCTGAAGACCTTGATGGGCCTGGAGTGGGTCCACCACTTCTGTCCCCAGGCAGCTTATGTGATGAAGACCGACTCGGACATGTTCATCAACGTGCACTACCTGACCGAGCTCCTGCTCCGGAGGAACCGGACCACGCGCTTCTTCACGGGCTACTTGAAAATGAACGAGTTTCCCATCAGGAAGAAGTTCAACAAGTGGTTTGTGAGCAAGCTTGAGTACCCATGGGACAAATACCCGCCCTTCTGCTCTGGCACCGCCTACGTGTTCTCAGCTGATGTGGCCAGTCAGGTGTACAATGTCTCTGAGCTCGTGCCCTTCATCAAGCTGGAGGATGTGTTTGTGGGGCTCTGTCTGGCCAAGCTTGGAATCCGGCCTGAAGAGCTGCACTCAGAGCAGACCTTCTTCCCCGGGGGGTTGCGCTTTTCCACCTGCCGCTTCCGGAAGATCGTGGCCTGCCACTTTATCAAACCTGCTGACCTGCTCATCTTCTGGCAAGCCCTGGAGAGCTCCCGGGAAGAAGACTGCTCATAGGAGGCATCCGGGGGCATAGCCAGACCAGCTGCAGATGACCCGTGGGGATGGCTTCTGGGAGACTATGAATGGCATTGCTGAGTCACAAGGGTCGGAAGTCTGGGAGAGGGGGATGCGGGCCTTCTGCCCCCACTAGCAAGAACCTCCATTGGGCAGGCCCAAGTGTTTGAGATGAAATGCACCTGTGTTTCCTCCCTAAGGGCTCAGTGGCCCTTAGTGTCCACAATTTGCTGTTGGGGACACCGCAGCTAAGAGAAGAACAGGAACACATCCTGGGCCTTCCAGCCAAACTGATGCTGGGGCACAGATGAAAGTAGGGTTGTCAGAATCTGCACCCCAGTGCATGTCTCTTGTGTTGCCTCTCCTGGGAACCGGGGTGATGTCAGCACCTCAGGGTGGGGAGCCAGGCATTTTTCAATCCTTCGCAGAATCCTTGGCTCCCATTCCTTGCTACCAATTCTTGCACTTTGCAGTATTTGAGAATGCGGTGACTAAACTCAGCCCCACTCTCTTCGCTTGCTGGGATGGACAGAGCCAGGCTTGGAGGCTGCCCTTGAGGCCTGGCGCTGGACATGCCCCCCGAAGACAGAGGTGCCTGACGTGGCTGCAGCTCACACCCAGTCCCGGATGGAAATCAGCTTTCACCGATCTGTCCATTGTGCCCACTGTGCGGGCTGACCTTGCTGTTGCCTGCCCCCTCCCCTATACCCTGGGAGTGTGACGTCACCACTGAGCCATCAGTGGCTCCTGGGCTCTTGGCCCCAGATGCCTGTTGTCTTCTGTTGAGATGCTTTTGTGAGAATCAGCTGTCTCTAAGTCAAGAGCTTGTCAAATCCCCAACCTTGAGCACCCAAACCCAGGTGAACCCTGGCCCAGGAGGGAGCCCAACCTGACCCATGCTCATTCTCATTGAAGTTGTCATTTGACCAAGGAACAACAGAGGTTTTGTGGTTTGGAGTTCAACCTTCCATTTTCTTATTCCCACAGGGGATGGCATGAGCCAATTTTTCAGGCTGCTATGAACACAAGGCAAGGGTTTTTGCCTCCGCAGCCACTGCCGTGTGATGTGCAAAGGGGAGCTTTGCTGAGCACTCGGCAAATGGTCTGCACAGCAGGTGAGCGTAGGACTGGACTCAGGAGAAGCTCTTCACTGCAGAACACGACGGGTGCAAATGGTGCCTAGCAGCCTTGTTTTGCACAGTGACTCCTGGGTGTGGGTTGAGCTGTTTCTGGTAGACGTGTTTCCATGCCCTAAATGCATGGGGTCAGGTTCACAAACACCTTCTCAAGTGGGGAATTCAGGGACTGAGCTTTTTGGAAGCCCAGATTTTGCAAGAGCCATATCCTTTGGTTCTATAGTGCAGGTTCCTCTGACTCTGCGGCTTATGGTGGACTTTAAGGGGGAAGTGTTTAGCTGATGTGAGGCCTGGGTCTGGGTGTAGCTGACCACTGTGTCCAGGGTGTTTGTGGCTGTTGGCTGAGCTGAGTGACCTGGGACTGGGGCCAGTCAGACCGGCCGTGGGTCAGCGCAGAGCACCCAGCACACAGGAGTCAGGTCTCTGCCTCCACCTGCTGTCCCTGTGTGTTCAAGGACTTGCTTCGGAGACTGTTTCTGCCACTTCCTTTTTTCCCAAGCAAAATATGTTCTGTGACTCTCTGGTTGGAAGTGAGCGTGGGATTTGTCTGGTTCTGCCTCCTTTTTGTTGTTTTTCATGTAGGATGAAAGCAAAGCTGAGGGAGCCAGACGGTTGCCGGTGTGTGCCTGGCAGCTCGCTGTTGATTTGGCTTCCTGCTTGCTTCTTTTTGTTCCGACATACCATCTGGCCTGGATGTGGGGAGAGTCAGCAAATGTGAGAGTGTGAATTAGGGGGCAAGGTGGGATTTTCTTAGCATGGAGTTGAGGAAGCGCTGTCTCAGTGTTGCATGGCTTTGCCCACAGGCTTCATGCCATGGATGGTTCTGAAAGCAGCTGCTGTGAGCCAGGACCTCCTTCAGATGCTCCTGGGCGAGGTGACGTTGGCGTCTGTGGGGGCAGATGAGAAGACCGAGGCAGACGCACCAACTCTGGCTGGATGTGTCCATGGCCGCCACGTAGTACGTGACCTCAGGATGTTGGGAGCCCTGGGGGGCTCTCGTAGGCTGCCAGCTGACCCAAACCTGGTTCCCAGGGCTGGTCCAACTGCACTTCTGGGGAATGTAGCACACCCCAGTCTCTTCATACCTTAGTCTGTGAGCCCCATTGTTCACCTTCCTCCGTGATCATGGGGGAGGAGCCACCCTCATGATGCGCTGGCTCCTCAACTTTGGAACTTGATTGGCAGCTCTTGTTACCTCCTCCAGAGCCTGCCTCCTGCCCCATCCTCACCCTCACTCTTGCTGGCCCTTCCCCCCAGTGCACACATACATGTGGGCACACACATGCACACTGTCATACATACCCTGATTGTCCATCCGTACTGTGGCCCCTCACCTCTCCTTGACCCGGTCACTCCAGCTGTAAGACCTCCTGCTTCCTCTCACTGGAGCTCACACACCTGCTGTCTTCTCCTTTCCTTCCATTCATTCTGAAATCCCTTCTGGTTGGACCCTGTGGACCTTCTTGAGGTTGTGGGCAGGCTGGGTCTCTAGGGAACATTCTCAGCCCTCCTCCAACAGCTGCTTCCTGGGTGATTCTCATGACCGGCTTCCTGGGCCCCCTTGCACCTGCCAGAGCTCCAGACTGGCTTCCTCCTCGCTGGTGGCTTCTTCATCTCCTTGGCTTCTCCTGTTGACTTTGTTTCTGTCCAGGGCTGGGGCTCTGTCTTGGCCTTGCCTCCTCCCGCGGTGACCCCAGTCCCCTAAGGAGTGCTCCTGTCTTATGTTCACATCTTTGTTATGTACTGGATGGCGCCATCCATGGTTTTCATGGATGGTGATTTTTAGAAGGGAAGGGGTGACTTGGGGCTTACATAGCACTGAGCCAGTCAGTGGGGACAATAAAGACTGGGTTGTGAGCTAAAGGCCCAGAGAGGCCATGAACAAGGCTTCTTGGTTCTGTGTCCCACTCCTTGCCTTTGCAGAGTGTTGCAAGGCCACGTTGTCTCCCCCAGCCCTGGTGTGAGAAAGGCGAGTGGATCACAGAGTATCCAGGAAGGATGCTGCTGGGCAGAGAGTCTGGTGTCTGAACTTTGGTGAAGGGACATTGTGCAGGATGCAGCCTCCTTCATACACATGCCTGTTGAGTGGACTTTAGGGGCTGTGTGAAGAGAAACTAAAGCTCCAACGAGGTTCTTCTTGCTTGCAGAGACTGCATCTGTGAGGTCTTCAGAAAGCCTCAAGGAGGAAGTGACGATTGACCAGACCCTCAAGGGTCAGGATGCAGAGCCTTGGCAGTAGCCAAGGTCAGGACACCCCAGGCACAGGGAACAGCTCGCGTGAAAGCCCTGAGGTCCTCACAGAGCTTATGCATAATAAAAAAAAGAAGGCTTTGCACGGATTTCAAATTTAAAAATGTGCCCTCACAGAAGAACCTGTGAGTCCCTTCACCATGAAGTGCCCTCCTGGGGACTGTGGTTGGGAAACCAGTTCTAAAGAGAAGCATTTTGTTTGAACTACTGCAGTTCAAGACTAACCCTCACTGCTACCAGTCGGTCTGGTCTGCCACAGCCTTCAGTGGAGGTGTCCTCGGAGCCGAGCTGTTTTCTGAGGGCTGGGTCTAAGTCAGCGAGCCTCGCCTCTGCCCATCAGCTCCCCGCTCTCTCAGAACTCTAGGGTTTTACCTGTCCACACCTGTATGTCAGGGGTGTGTGCTTGTCCCGGGTGCAGACCAGGGCACTGCCCCTCCTTCACCTTCTTCTGACTGGATGTTCTTGACTGGGCAGGGTGATCTATGATTGCCGCCACTCCCTGTTTCTACCCATTGACCCTGGGGTTCACTTTCTCTACTTTTCTTCAGGGGACAACTGGAACAAAAAAAATGAGAAATGGATTTATCTATCTGTTTATTTTTTTAAAAAGATTTATTTATCTGAAAGACTTAGATACATCTTCCACTTGCTCATTCACTCTCCAGTGGCCTCAGTGGCAGGGGCTGGGCCAGACTGAAGCTAGGAGCCTGGAACTCCAGCTGGGTCTTCTATGTGAGTGCAAGGACCTGGGCGCTTTGGCCATCTCCTACTTTCCAGGAGCATTAGAAGGATTGAAAGTGGAGCAGCGGGGGCTTGAACTGACGCTCCCGCATGGGATCTGTTGGTGGAGATGCAGCCACTCAGCCATCACATCTCCTGGGGACAGCCTCGCCCTCCACCAGAGCAGCCCCCTCCCTCCAGAGCAGTCCCCTCCCACCAGAGGCGCAGGCCTGGAGCTTCTGCAGGAGGGGCTGCCATCCTGCCCCTCTCTCGTTGCAGTCACCTGCACTGTGAGTTGACCCAAATCCCATGTGCCCATTCCTGGTCCTGACTGACAATGCTGCATTTGACCCATTGCCACATGTGGCTTCCCAAAGCCTCCTTGTTAGCTGCCCCCATCCTTACCTGCCCAGACCTGCTTGGCCATGTCTGGTGACCACTCTGATTTCCATCTTGCAGCCACAGCCTGTGCCTGGCGTCGACACACAAACCCCTCAGCCAGCCCCTGTTCCTTCTCATTCTTCTGACGCTCGGCTGCCAGGCTGCCAGGCTGCCAGAATGCCAGCCTCTGTGGGTGCTGTGTGCATTGCTTGTGCCTGTGTGTGTGGGTGTGTGGGGTGTGCCTGTGTGGAATACGTGCTTAGCATGTGTGTGTGTACGGTGTGTGTGTATGACATGTGCGTGGTGGCTGTGATGTGTGTCTGTGCAGCCTGTGGTGTATGCGTGTGTGTGTGTGTGAAGAGCAGGGAGTCTGAGGCCCACTCTGGCTGTGCTGGTGAAGCGCCTGGTGACTGACTGTCACAAGCCACAGCCCTACACGTGTGTGCTGAGTGACAGCTGACGAGCATCTCCTGGGCAGGTGTGCTGATGTTCACAGGTTTTCACGTCTCCCCT